ACACTGGAGAAAAACCTTACAAATGCCTGGAGTGTGGAAAGAGCTTTTGTCAGGATGGAAACCTCCGTCAACATCAAAGAATTCATACTGGAGAAAAACCATATACATGTCTGGAATGTGGAAAGAGCTTTGCTGTGAAGAGAACTCTTGATAATCATCAAGTAATTCACACCGGAGAAATACCATATAACTGCCCTGAGTGTGAAAAGAGCTTCAATGAGAAGGGAAATTTTAAAATTCATCAAAGAATTCACACCAGAGAAAAAAAACATATAAATGCCTGGAGTGTGGAAAGAGTTTTAGTAACAGAAGAAATCTTTATAAACATCATATAAACCATTCAAATAGTTAAGTATATTCTCAAGTATTTAACTTTCTTAACAGACAGATGTGCAATGATGAAAGAAGACATATAAAACTACTTAAGCAAATAAAATTAGATTTGGAAAAACCTACATCAGTGCTAGGAAGGATTGCTACGGTGAAAATGAATATCCTACCAACATTGCTGTTCCTGTTCCAAACAGCACCTATAAAAATTGAAAAGAAATTCTTTGATGATTTGAATAAATTGATTTTGATAGTTATTTGGCAAGGAAAAAGTGAGAATAAAATTGAAGATGTTACAAGACTCTGGTAAAGAAAATGGAGGGTTTGGACTACCAGATTGGTTCTTATATTACCAAGTATGTGATAACATGGCTGAACAAATGAATAACTCTCAGGCACAAGAGACTGTTATACTTAGTGTGGAAAGAGCTCTACTCAGAATGGACACCTCCATGAACATCAAATAATCCACTCCGGAGAAAAACCTTATAAATGCCAGGGGTGTGGAAAGAAGTTCAGTTGGCTGAGAAACCTTTATACACATCAAAGAATCCACTTGGGAAAAATCCTCTGTAAATGCTTGGACTGTGGAAAGACCTTCAGTCGGAAAAACAGCCTTAATAGGCATCAACTCATTCATTCCGGGGAAAACTACTATAAATGCCTGAAATGAGGAAAGAGTTTTATTGACCGACATCAAAGGATCAATCATGATTCACTAGGATTCAATCTGTCATAGAGAAGAAAATTTAGAAATGTACGGAGTGGGAAAAATCCTTTAGAACAAATGGAAATCTCCAAAACTACAATGGAACCTTGGGTACAAATGCGACCAAATTGGGTGACAAGCAACATTTTTGGAAAATGGTTGCTTCTGGTGTCAAACAGATCCTCAAATACAGCTGTGGTGATTTTTCCTGCCGTGATTTCCCCTGCTGCACATGCACAGAATTGTAGGCACTAGTAATAGTAATATTTACTAGTCAGTAAATATTAACCACAGTTAATATTGGTTCAGTTTTACTATTGTTTTATTGTTAAATAAAGGAACATTTTACTATCTTCTTTATTCTTATGGTTTGTTTAGCAGTTTTGCTATTCTATATTACCTCATGGTTTAATTTGAATTATATTACAAATTATTAAGTGTTTTGCATGATCACATTTTTCCTGTAAATGAGTCCACATCTTGCAAATTGTGCAAGGAATATGAGAGCAACGGTATTCAATTGTACATTCTTATATAATCATCACAAATTTAATTCAGTCAGTCAGTGGTGCTGTAGTTTAATATATTACTTAGGAAAGTGGGCCAGAGTCACTCTTTCCCTTTCAGTAGTAGAAGTTCATGCTGAAGCCAATCTTCACCAGCAACATCCCCTTTATCTTCTCTTTCTGCTCTCAATATACCCCAAGTATGAACTATCTCAGCCTTTCCATCTTGGCTGGAACATCTCTCTCCCAGACAGGTGATAGGCAGCAAGCAGAGAAAGCCAGATGTATGCCACAGTATCTAAAGCTGCTTCCTTTCAGGTGTCTTCTCAGTGCCAGATGTAACCCCTCTCTCCAAAGTAGCTTTGT